GTTTTAGGGTTTGGGTCTAGGGCAGCGACTCCGAGACGCTTTACCCTCAACCCTGATTCAGGAGCTTCCCTAGTGAAGGTAGGCTTCTCAACAACAGAGCCCTTGGGTCCTAAACCCGACTCCTGATCTAAACCCTCAGCCTGGATCTGAACCTCGCCCTGCTTGAAGGATCCTGGGACGCAACTACTAATCAAGGTAAACAAACGGCTTTACTTGGAGAAGCTATGCTTCTCAACCCCGCTTAGAACTTGCTTCCCTACTTCCTTGCCCTGGGCCTGGGCCGTGGTGCCGACGATCTGCCTCATCAGGATGTTCCCCTCTCGGTCTCCTGTGGGGGTTTAGGGGTTTAGGGTTTTGCGGGTTTAGGGTTTAGGGTTTAAGGGCTTAGGCCACGCGGGGAGGGCATAGTAAGTAGGGGTATCAGCGAGCCTGACTTATGAGCCTGCCTACTGAGACCCTTCCCACATCCCGCATGAGCGAACGCAATTTAGGGCCCGTTGTTTGTAATCCAGCCCTCTCTTGGGATCCTGCCCTGCAGCCTCGACACGCACCCCTGTCGTACTACAACAAGAGTTTCGAGGCACTACTCCTCCAGGACCTACTCCCCAAACTACCCCAAAGTTCAAGTCGATAGACTAGGCCCTCACACGACATGTGAAACCGTCAACCGCCGGCTCCGTATGAGGGTGGGATGGTCGTGGGCTCCACATCGTTGAAAATGCGGACCCGTCCGGTGGCTCCCATATAATCCTGGCAGCACTCGTTGGTTGCGGGGGAGCCGGGGAGGGGGGATGCAGCGACTCCCTGAGGCTCCGGTTTAGGTTTAGGGTTTAGGGTTTAGGGTTTAGGGTTTAGGGCCCTGAGGTGTACGAACGAACTGAAAAGGGCCGGTTTCGGTTTCAGACAGAAACCATAAAGCTGCTAACACCACAACGCCTTACTCGTAGTACTCGCTACTAACCCTGACCCGCCAGGTACCTATTATATAGGGTACTATAGAGCCCCTAGGGCCCTATGTAGTAGGCACCTGGGGCGTTAAAGGGTAAGTTACTAGCAGCCGAAGGAACCTCACAAGTTTCGAACCCCAATCCACGCACGGAGTAGACTGACAAGCATGGCACACAAATCTCAACTGAGTATGTGCAGTCTGTAGGCGTAATTCTCCGAAGCGTATAGAGCCTCTGCATATCTATCTATGGATCTAAGTATCCGTCTAGTTATCTATCTATCTACCCATCTATCTACCTATCTATCTACCTGTCTGTCTATCTATCCAGCTAGCTAGCTATCGATCTACCCAGAGAGAGAGAGAGAGAGAGAGAGAAAGAGACAGACAGAGAGATAGAGAGAGCGAGACAGAGAGCGAGCGAGAGGGAAGCTAAACTGACCGAACCCTAACTACCACCTTTCTCCTTGCCCGTCCCGGAGCCTATGCACAAACCAAACCCTTACATTATCGCCGAGCCTGCTGCAAGGAGATGTTGTACAAAGACTCGCGAGAGAAGTCGCTGTTCAGCTCGCTATAGGGCCTATCAGGTTCAGAAAAATAGCTCGTTTAGGGTACGATTTGAGGGTTCCTTCACGGGTTCTTCAAGGACTTCCCTTAAGAGCGCCTTGAAGTTGAGGGCATTGGCTCTCGCATGGTTTCGGGCTTAGGGCTCGGGGTTCAGGATTCGGTGCGTAGCGTGCAGGACTTGCGGTTCAGCCAACCTCTAAAATATCCAAACCCACACACACACACACACACACAGACGGACACGTGCACACTCGAACCCGTGCTAACGCTTGCTGAAGTCGATGGAAGACTCCGCCCGGAGCCACCCCCAATGCACATGCGACAGGCACACGAACACTTGAACCTTGTGTCTCGCGGTTGGCTGGGTACAGCTTGGTTCTACTGAGGATGTGCTTCCAAATCCGTTTAGTCATCCTCCAACAACCCTTGCTCTCCGTCTCCCCAGAGGCCTACTCCTGTCAATCAGGAAGCCGTGAAATACCGAGGCCTCAGTGAAAGATGCTGGGATCTCATGAAGTTCAGCGTTTTTTTGGGAGAATCTTCATGAAGTTGAGCGTGTTTTAGGAGAATCTTCATGAAGTGCAGCGTCTTTTTTGGAGAATCTTGAAATCATGGGTCGCGCTTGTTGTGGGCCTATGCACTGAGGATGCGACTATTCGGGTTCTATATTGGCTCGTCATGGCTGGTCCTAGTTTTGAAGCAGCCCACACAGGCTGATGATCGAGGTCGACGAGATAAGGCATTAGGAATTCAAGTTCAGTGCCTAGTGCTGCGGTGCTACACTACAGGACTAGCGGCCTAGGGCTGCAAACCCAGCATCCACATTCCTCCATTCGCAGGGTGGTTTACTTTATGTACGCCAGGAAAACCCCAGCCTAATCCGAGTTGCTCAAGGCAACATGGAAGCAGTCTAGTTTGCCAACATTTAGAGCCTGTCGGTACAAACACGCCGCAATCACGACGCCTCCGCAACTAGAGGCCTCTATCAAATCTAAGCCCTAAGCCGAAAAAACCCAGAGCGCAAACCCCTAATTGGAGGGGCACCAAAGGTACGAA